ACAAAGTAGCTCTTTTCTGGTTGCTGCGGCATTAGCCATCATGTGCAGCAAAGTCTCACATGACACCCTCTATGAGGCGGTGCGGGAAGTCCTGCACAGGAACCAGCGCAAGCACCGAAGTTTTTGGAGACGGTGGAGCTGCAGATCAGCTTGAAGAACTATGACCCTCAGAAGGATAAACATTTCTCGGGCACTGTCAGCCTGAAGTCAACCCCCCGCCCCAAGTTCTCGGTGTGTGTCCTTGGGGACCAGCAGCACTGTGATGAAGCAAAGGCTGTGGAGATCCCTCACATACATGGACACTGAGGCTCTCAAGAAACTCAACAAGAATAAGAAGCTGGTCAGTAAGCTGGCCAAGAAGTATGATGCCTTTTTGGCCTCTGAGTCCCTGATCAAGCAAATCCCAAGGATCCTGGGACCAGGACTGAATAAGGCTGGCAAATTTCCTTCCCTGCTTACCCATAATGAGAACATGGTGGCTAAAGTTGATGGGTGAAGTCCACCATCAAGTTCCAGATGAAGATGGTGCTTGCTGTGTCTGGCACTGGCTGTTGGCCATGTGAAGATGACAGATGATAAGCTAGTTTACAACATCCACTTGGCTGTCAACTTTCCGGTTTCACTAATAAAGAAGAATTGGCAGAATGTCTGGGCTTTGTACATCAACAGCACCATGGGCAAACCCCAGCATCTGTACTAAGACACAACTCAATAAACCTTATTGTTAACTAAAAAACAAAAGAACAAACTCAATGATCTCAATGCCTACTACACAGTCACAGTAGTCAAAACAGCCTGGTACTTATATAATAAACAACTCAGAGATCAAGGGAACAGAACTGAGCACCCAGAATTAAATGTATGCACCTAAAGTCAGTTGATCTTCGACCAAAGGCCAAAATGCATAAAATGTGGAAGAAATAGCCTCTTCAACAAATGGTGATGGCAAAATTGGAAACCTATTTGCAGAAAAATATAACAAGACCCATATATCATAACACATATAAAAACAAACTCAATGTGGACTAAAGGCCTATAATATGTAAAGCCTAGAACTATAAAGATTATCAATACAAAATACGAAGAAATTTAGGGGCTCTGATATATGGCATAAATACATTATCAAATGTAACTGAGAACACACAAACAGAAGACAAAATAGATGACTGGATCCTTCCCAAAATTAGACATTTATGTACATCAAAGGATTTCACCAAGAGTAAAAAAAGAACCCAAAGACTAATAAAAATGTTTGGCAGCAACATATCAAACAAAGGACTATTCTCCAAAAATTATACAACACATCAATGCCTAACAACAAGATGACAAATAATCCAGCTAAAAAATGAGCTGAGGACAAGAACTTCACCAAAGAAGACTTTCAGGCGGCCAAAAAACATACAAAGAAATGCTCATCATCCTTAGCCATCAGAGATGTAATCAATATAATGAGACATCATCTTATTCCAGCATTAATAGCAAAGTTAGGTAAGACAAAATAACAACAAAGAAAACCAGAAATGCTGGCAAAGGTGTGGAGAGATGGAGACGGTCCTACACTGCTGGTGGTACTATAAAATATGCAACCACTGTGGAAAACAGTATGCTGCCTTCTCAAAAGTTGGAAATAGAAATACCACTGTTGTTGAGTGTTGTCAAGTTGGTTCGGACGCATAGAGAGCTTGTATAGGGTTTCTAAGGAGCAGCTGGTAGATTTGAACTGCCAACCTTGTAGTTCAAACCAACCTTGCGATCCAGTGCTTATCCTACTGTGCCACACATGACTCCAGAAATACTGTATGACCCAGAAATCTTAGTATAAATCCTCAAGAAGAGCTGTAGCACTAATAGATATATGTACACCCATGTTCACTGTAGAACTATTCACAATCTACCAGTTGCTCTGAGGGAGAAAGATGAGGCTTTCTGCTCCTGTTAAGATTTACAACCTCAGAAACCTTATCTATACAGGGTTGCTATGGGTCGGAACCAACTCAGTGGCGCACACCACCACCACCACCACCACCCCATGAATAATTCCTTCCACTACCCTAGATATGACAGAATGTTTCTTTTATCAATAAAACTTTTTTTTTTATTTTAACAGCAGTGGTCTCATATACTATTTGTCCTTTTGTGATTGCCACTGAGTTATTCCCGACTCATAGCACCTGTATTGGGTTTCTGAGGAGCGGTTGGTGGGTTTGTACAGCAGTCCAGTGCTTATCCAACAGTGCCACACCAGGATTCAAGCTAGAGGGTATACACATTAACTTAGGTGATGGGAAAGGCAATATACAACAAAAGGGAGGTTGGTAGAGGAAAGAAAAAGCTAGCAGGAGACACAGGGGGAAGGGAAGAATTAAATAAAAGTAAATTATGGTACATGGAGAGGACAACAATCATTTTAATGATACAAAGCATAAGATGTGTTGAATATAAAACTGATGTGACAGGTAAGACGGAGGAATTCGCACTGACCACCTAAGGCAGGCAGCGTCCCCTAAACAAATAATAAATAAGGGGGAAACGGAGGTAGACCGTGCAGACCCGGCCAGGAGTTCAAGACCCTGTGGGCCCAAGCGTTGCAGACCATCCAAACCATAGTCTCTGAGGATCAGACTTTAGCCACCTAGCAGACATAGTAAACTGTCCCTCATCTGATTATTCAAGTATGCTTGTTAGTAATCGCATACATGAGCCCTGGATATCCACAGATAAATGTAAAAAAACCTTCCCTAAAAGCCGAGACTGTAAATTCCAAAAAGGCAAAGTTGTCCCCCCCACCCCACTCCCAAAAAAGGAGAAAAGCCAAAGAGGATAGAGAGAAACACTGTTGACTTGATGATGTATGGAGGGGATTGTAATCAATGTAATGAAACAAGTCATATGAATGGCTGAATGTGAAACTGATGATGTGCCCTGTAAACTTTCACTCAATCCACAATAAAAATCTTAAAAAAAAAACAAACCCTGATGATCTGTTCCATAAAATCTCCACTCAATTAACCATAACTTAAAAAAAAGAAAAGACAGAAAACATATACCCAGGTTTCCTTCCTCATTAATTAATTTGCTGACCTGGACAATCGAGTTCTTGCTGGTGGAACCCAGGGAAGATGCGTTCTGCTGTAGGATAATTATCCCTGCTTCACCACTCAAAAACAAGAGTTCACCACACTCTGAGATAACAAACTCAGTTTAAGGGTGGACGGAGGGCTGACCCCACAGTAGTGACTAGGTATGTGTGAAGGGCTCAAAACGTAAATTACCTTAGCAGCAACCTTTCCTATAATCCCTTGAAGTCCCTTATAAATGAAGGACTGCTTTCTCAGAGGCCCAGAAAAGCATTGTGAGGCAAGGTGGGCAGATACCATTCTGTCCTACAGTTGGAAAAACTGGTTTCTTCATCCTAACTGTTCAAGGTCAAGCTTAGAACCAAATTTCTTCAAGGCACAATTAGGATGTACCTCTGTACCTCTTAGGATGTGTGCCCTGAAAAAGGTCTGAAAAGGCTGAGAAGTCTATAGTTTGAGCAGACTTGGCCAGAAAGCAATGTTGATACCCTCTCTAGAAGGCCTGGCATTTTACCATTAAGACTAATGGCTCCCTGGTAAATTGCAAATTTACACTCCACAAAGCTCCTCTCTCACTCCTCTTGAGTCCATCCCTGTAGACAGTGTAACAACCTAGTATTAGCTTAAAAATGCTTTTCAATAAAATAGAAAAGCTTCCAGTATGTATGAAGTACCCAGTAGAGCTTAAAATATTGCTGATTATCACTCTTAAAAGGATTATAATCCAGGTAATTTTCTCAAAGGAGAAAAACAAAGTATGTATGTCGAACCAAGCAGACTTTCTAAATTTTTAACTCAGTATAAGATACAAGAACAAAAGGGTTAGTTCATTACTTACACCTCTTAAATAGAAAATTAAAGATACACTCTTTTGGAAGTTAGAAGAGACAAGAACCAGACTCCCACCCTCAACCTCCCACACACATGCCCTTCTCCCAAATTGTCTTCCTGTACAATTTAAGAAAAGCAAATTCTACAGAACCACAAGTCAGTTGCCCTCTTAATGAGCATTTGCCTTAAATATTGAGCTATTAATGTTTAATACTCTTCCACCATTGTGGGAATTATTTCCAAGTTTCAGTTAAAAAAATAATAAATTTATAACTAAAGACCGCAATTACCAGTCCTTGTTCTTGAGAAGCCCATTGTTTCAAATTTTTTCAAAATCTATTTAAAAGATGAAAAATACATTCCTTTCACTAAAGTACCTCAAAACAAAAAATACCCCCATCAATATTCTTAAAACATGTTATAACTTCTAGACAGGATTCTGACACATTATTAGGACATCCAAACTTCCTTGAGAAGGTCCATCGTTAGGGGTTGCTGCATTCTTCCCTACACAATTTTGTGACGTATCCTATATTCCTTAAAAACCTCATGCTTACTGACCTCCACTAAAGTTTAAAAGAAATTAAAACATTCAAAAGTTGCATTGTCCAATAGAGCAACCATTATTCACATCTTACACTTGAAATGTAACTAGCCCAAATTGAAATGTGCTATAAACATAAAACACAGGAAAATTTCAGTCTTACTACTAGTAAAAAGATTTTAATAAACATCTTTATACTGATTACATATTAACATAGTAACATTTTTAATATGTTACATTAAATAATATATTAATTTCATCTGTTTCTTTTTCCCTTTTAAATGTGGCTACCAATTTTTTAAAATAACCTACGTGGCTCGTATTATATTTCTATATATAAATAGTACTGTTTCATTTGACTTATCCTTTTCCCCAAACTTCCTGTATTATTATAAAACAGATTTCTATATTCTAATCAAAGGTAATTTTCACCCAGAGTGAGATTCAATCTAAAAAGTTAATCCCAAAAGGTGCAAGTCTTGAATCAAGGTCACGAATCAGACTCTGTATATAAGCCTAGTGCAGTCAAGTTTTCAAACCTCAATCACCTGTCAAATGCTCATGAATTCCTCGATTTACAGGTGTAGTGCAGACTCTACTGAAGTCCAGAGAATTATCCAGTATGCCATTTATCCTTCGAAAGATATTGGCATTGCTACACGTGGAGAGTGCTGGTGTTGTCTGGTTGTCCCAGCAATCTTTAATCCTTCCTGTTTCTTCTTCCTAGACACAGAAAAAGGTAATAAGGTTTTCTACACTCCTTTATGATAAATGCAGAGATGTGGTACCTATTTTCCCCCAACCTAACATCATAAGTTAGATGGAACAGAAAGGACTTGGGTTTACATTATAATACTTAATACGTGTGTTTACTATGAGCAAGGGACCCTGAGAGAGCCGTAAGAGGGAAAACACTAAAATATAAAGATATTACTTTAGTAACCTAATATAATGGGACACATATTTGAGGAGGCTTCAAAAAGTTCATGGCAAAATTCCATTGTCTTTCAATTCTATTACCCCCAAAACTTTTCGAAAACCCCTGCAGATAAATTAGCATGGCAAGCAGCAGCAGCATGAGCTTTAGAACCAGATAGATGTGAGTTCAAATCTTGATTCTGATGGTATATCCACACCATGAAATACTCTCTGGCAATAAAAAGAAATGCTACAACATGATAAATCTCACCAACATTATGCTAAGTGAAAGAAGCCAGTCACAAAAGACAACATACATATTGTTAAGAGTCCATTAAATAAAATGTCCAAAATAGGCTAAAGTAGATTAATGGTGGGAAGGATTTGGAGAGGTGCACCTGTGAAATAGTGGCTAATGAGTACAGGCTTTCTTTTTGAAATGATGAAACAATTGTGAAGTTTTATTAGTCATGGTTATACCACTCTGTAATAAAAACTAAAAACCAATGAATTATATGAAGACATGAAATTTATAGTATGTAAATTCTATCTGAATAAAGCTATTAAAAAGTCATGATTCTGCCATTTATTGTCTGTGATGTTAGAAAAGTACTTAGCCTCTTGGTATCTCAGTGCCCCCATTTGTGAAATGGGAAAAAGTATACCTACTGACTGACTTTTTGATAGCATGCATAAAACACTTAGCATAGTGCCTTGACATGGTATAGCTGTTATTTTTACATCTCAAAGTATAATGATAAGAAACCAAGTAGTAGCACCAAGACTGGTGTAAACACCACCCAAAGATAACTGGTTAAATAAGTTTATGCAATTTTATGTGGCAATAGAAAGTACATATAACTCTATTTACTGGAAGGAGAATGTATTTAAGACATGATATTAATTGTGTGATGTCAAGTCGATTCTGACTCTTAGTGACTCTATATAGGGTTTCCAAGCTGTAAATCTTTATAGGAGCAGAGAACCTCATCTGTCTCCTGCAGAACAGCTGGTAGATTTAAACTGCTGACCTTGTAGTTAGTAGGTCAACTTGTAGCCCACTATGCTACCAGAGATTCTTGTTTAAGACACATGGGTTTAGAATCTCTGCAGGATTAATTTAAATAAGCAAGCTTTGAAAAGACTGCTACCCTTCCAAATTGTAAGGATAATGAAAAATCCTGTGAGATTGCTTTTCGAAACCCTCCAGAGAACACCACTGGGAATGATTAAACTCAGTAACACAAGGCCATTTTTCCAACTGTTGTTAAATGCCCTTGAGTCACTTCCAAGTCATGATACTGTAAATAGGGTTTCCAAGGAGTCACTGGTGGGTTTGAACCATTGATGTTTAGGTTAGTCCAGTGCTTAGTGCTTATCTTGCAGATCTTAAGGCTGCAAGCTTAATTTATTCACTGTTTGATCAACATTAACCAATTTCTTGCTATGTATATACAGCAAGTAGCCTAGATGTCAGCAGGATATTTACAGATTAAATAAAAATAAGTTTTCAATTCTGGAAGGGGAACTAATACCTAATAATGCTGTAAGCTACCACAATACACACTATAAACAAACACTATCCTTAAGGGGACTCAGAATGTGCCTGCAAGTGCAGATAAGAGGAAGGTCTCAATAACAGAGAATAGCAAGGCATGATCAAGAGTGATCTAGTCTAGGGAAACATTAGGCAAAGGAGAAGAAAACAGACTAGAACAAAGGATTTATGTACTAGATAAAAGCATTAGCATGATCTATATCAGAAGTTTACCATAATATGTTGTTGTTATGTGTCGTGGAGTCGGTTCCGACTCATAGCGACTCTGTACAGGGTTTCCAAGGCTGTAAATCTTTACAGGAGCAGAAAGGCTCGTTCGTCTTTCTCCCGCGGAACAGCTGGTAGTTTTGAACTGTTGACCCTCAGGTTAGCAGCCCAATTTGTAACCACTACGAACCAGAGCTCCCTACAATAATATGAGGAGCCCCTTTTAATTCACAAAATCAAAACTAACTTTATATATCAGATGCTATACTACAAGGGGGTCTCAAAAAGTTCATGGAAGAATTTCATTATCTTTTAATTCCATTAACTTTTTTAAACCCCTTCAGTTATCTCTGGATTATCTCATATTAATATTGTTCTTGTGTGTCAAAAGTCTTTTTCCACTCATAGTAACCATATAGATGGTGATAATGGTGGAAACACTCCATAGGATTTCCAACAGAGTAGAATTTCTCCATAAGGTTTCCAAGGAGTCCTTGGTGCAGTGTTGTAGGATAAGCACTCAGCTGCTAACCATAAAGTCGGTTGTTCAAATCTACTAGCCACTTCACGGAAACCCTATGCAGGGTTGCTGAGTCAAAATCGACACCACAGCACTTAACAAGTCTTTATGAAAGCAGATCGCCAGGTCTTTTCTACTGTGAAGCCACTGTTATTATTGTTAGGTGCCATCAAGTCACTATCGACTCATAGCAAAACTGTGCACAACAGAAAAAAACATTACGTGGTTTTGCGCCAGTGTCACAATCCTTGCTGTGTTTGAGTTCAGTGCTGACGTCACTATGCCAATCCATCACGTTGGGGGTCTTCCTCTCCTTCTCTGATCCTCCACTTTAACAAACATGGTATCCTTCCCCAGGGACTGGTCCCTCCTGATAATATGTCTTAAGTATAAGAGATGAAGTCTGGCCATCCTGGCTTCTAAGGAACATTCTGGCTGTACTGCTGCTTCCATGAGTATTGATCCAAGAAAAAAATGAAATCTTCTGACAACTCCAATCTTTTCTCCATTACATGGATGCTGTTCAGTAGTCCAATAGTGAGGATTTTTGTTTGCTTTACATTGAGATGCAATTCATAATTTTAAGCCCTCTTTGCTTTCAGCAAGCAAGGTTGTATCATCTGCATATCACAAGTTGTAAATGAGTCTTCCTTCCAATCATAATGCCATGTTGTTCTTCATATAATACAGCTTCTAGGACTATTTGCTCTATTTATTGAATAAATATAGTGAAAGCACACAACTCTGGCACACACCTTTCCTAATTTTAAACCATTCAGTATTAACATGTGCTTTTCAAACAACTTTCTCTGGTCTATGTACAGGTTCCTCAGTGGTTCGGACTACTCATTCTCCACAATGTTGTCCACAGCTTGTCCTGATACCCACAAAGCCTTTGTGTAGTAAATAAAGCCCAGATAAACATTTTTCTGGTATTCTCTGCTTTCAGTCAAGATCCATCTGACGTCAGCAGTGATATTCCTTGTTTCACGACTGCTTCTGAATCCAGCTCGAAACTCTGGAAGTCCTCTGTCAATGTATGGCTGCAATCATTTTTGTATTATCTTTAGCAAAATTTCACTTGCATGGGATATTAATGATACTGTCCAATGTTTTCTTCATTCCGTTGGGTCACCTTTCTTTGGGATGGGTACAAATATGGATCTCTTCCAGTCAGTTGAACATGTAGCTGTGTTCCAAATTTCTTGGCAGCAATGAGTGAATGTCTACAGTGCTGCCTCACTTTGTTGAATGATTTCAATTTGTATTTCATCTATTCCTGGAACCTTGTTCTTTGCCAATGCTTTCAATGCACCTTGGACTTCTTCCTTCAGTATCATTGGTTCTTGATCATATGCTACCTCTTGAAATGGTTGAACATTGACCATTTCGTTGTGATACAGTGACTGTGTATTCCTTCCATCTTTGTTTGATGCTTTCTGCATCATTCAATATTTTGCCCATAGAATCCTTCAATATTTCAAGTCAAAGGTTGAATTTTTTTCTTCAGTTTCCTCAGCTTGAGAAATGTTGAGTGTGTTCTTCCCTTTTGGTTTTCTAACTCCAAGTCTTTGAACATTTTGTTATAATATTTGACTTTGTCTTCTTAAGCTGCTTTCTAGAATTTTCTATTCAGCTTTTTTATCTCATTTCTTCCATTAGCTTTAGCATCTCTACTCTAGAGAGCAAGTTTCAAGGGTCTCTTTTGACATCCATTTGGTCTTTTCTTTCTTCCTTGTCTTAATGACCTTTTGCTTTCTTCCTGTATGATGTTCCAGATGTCATCCCACAACTCTTCTGGTCTTCGGTCTTTAATGTCTAATGCATCAAATCTGTTCTCCATAGCAAAGCCACTATGCATGTATGTATCTGGATTCCCAAATCCCGGTCAAGTTTATTATTTTACACTAAATGAATCATACACTTCATTTCATCTGAGTGATTGCAATCCCTAAATTCTGAATTTTGTCCAGATAGTGGTGGTGGTGGTTAAGTGCCGTCAAGTCAGTTGTGACTCATAGCGATCCTGGATAGGGTTTCCAAGGAGCGGCTGGTGACTTTGAACCACCAACCTTGAAGTTCAAACCAACCTTGTAGTCCAGTGCTTTAACTCACAATGCCACACCAGGACTCCTGATGGTAAATGCTGCCATTGTGATCTTGAATGGTTGATCATTCTACGCTGTGCATACCTCACTAGTATTGCTGCCTGCCTCCCCTACTGCTTTGCTGTGAGAATGGCGCCATGGAGGTGAGTTTAGTTCCAGGCCTTAAGGGTGACACCAAGGGCCATAGTTTTGGGATTTCACCAATCTCTGTATGACCAGTAAGCCTGGCATTTTCTGATTTTCAATTTTGTCCCACATATCATAATGAAATGTATTAAAATGAAATGTGCAAAGACCTGGAGTTAAAAAATCAAAAGAGAAGCACATGCTCATCATTTCTCAAAGCAAAAGAAATAAAGAAAAAATTCAAGCCTTGCCTTGCAATACTGAAGGATTCTATGTGCAAAATATTGAACGATGCATAATGCATCAAAAGAAGATGGAAGGAATACACAGAGTCACTGTACCAAAACAGAAATGGTTGATCTCCAACCATGTCACAAGAGGTAATTAGTATATGATCAAGTCAATGATACTGAAGGAAGAAGTCCAAGTTGTACTGAAGGCATCGGCACAGAAAAAGGCTCCCGGAATTTATGGAATGCAAACTGAAGTCTTTAAACAAACTGAAGCAACACTAGAGGCTATCACTAGTCAAGAAATCTGACAAGAAACCTGGCCAACTGATTGGAAGAGATCCACATTTGTGCACATTCCAAAGAGAGGTGATCCAATGGAATGCGGAAATCATCAGACAGTATATCATTAACATCACGTGCAAGTAAAATTCTGCTGAAGATAATACAAAAATGGCTGTAGCAGTACATTGACAAGGAAATTCCACAGTTCCAGGCCAGACTGAGAAGAGGATGTGAATTGAGAGACATCAATGCGGATGCCAGATGGATCCTGGCCAAAAGCAAACACCTGAAAGATGTTTACCTGTGCTCTACTGACTATGCAAAAGCTTTTAATTGTGTGGATTATGACAAGCTATGAACAATGCAAGAACACCAATGTGTAAAGTGTCACAGTAATCTAAGGTACACAGATGACTAGATCCTGGTCGAGTTTAAAGTCAAATAAATGCAACTGTATGTGCGCTTTGGAAGGAGACCACCAGCAACTGTATTAAAGATGGAAGGGAAGAGTGTGGGTGTCATTAGTTCATTATTATTGCAAGAGGTCACTATACGGATCATTAAGGAAAAAGTTAAGTCAAACATTACTGCTGCATACAGTAGGCAAAATTATGACAACTTCTTAGATACAATGAAGCATCTTAAGACAATGAGTTGCAGGACCTAGGGGCGCAGGACCAGAGTGTCTCAGGGGACACCATGGTCAGTTGGCATAACACAGTCCACAAAGACAATGTTCTACACATCCTACTTTGGTGAGTAGAGTCTGGGATCTTAAAAGCTCATTAGCAGCCTTAATACAGCTAATGGGCTCTCCACATGCGGAAAAAAGAAGAGTGATGAGAACTGAAGATGCATGGAATTAATTAGTCCAACAGACTAATGGAACATGTTAACATCTCTATGATTCAAACCAGAAGAACTAAATGGTACCCAGCTATCACTACCAATTGCTCTTTAAGGAATCACATTAGTTAAGTCCCAGATAAAGTGGGAGAAAACATGGTAAAAAAAAAAAAAAAAACACCTCAAAATTATTTTGAAAAAAAAACCAGGCTCACTGGTTAGAAGGAGACTGAATGAACCCAAGACACTATGGCCCTTGTCCACAATTCAGGTCTAGAAAGGAACTCACCATCTTGGCCCAATTTTCACAAGCAGTACACAGGTAGGTATATAGAGGGACAACAACACTAGTTGTTGGTATGGGAAGGTGGATGGAATGGAAATAAGAACCACAGGGAGGAAGAAGGATAATTGTTGTATCGAAGAGATTGTTGCATGGATGTGATTGCAATCTTGAGATGAAACAAAGTACATGATTTGCTAAATGTAAAACTGATGATCTTGTCTGTAAACATTCACTCAATTTATAATTAAAAAAAAAAAAGCATTGCTATTATGGTTCCAGATTCATGCATAAATCAATCCAAACAAAGCATATTTAGACATGTCTCTTTATGATCAGTGAACGGCTCCAGACAAGTTTCCTCAGTAATGTACAAAAGTGAGTCAAAAATTATCAGCATTCTAGCTTTAGAATTTGTTTTAATCAACTTTTAGAAAAGACAAATACATAATTTTTTGACATAATCTCCTTACTTTTCAATACATTTTGTCCATCTGTCAACAATTTTACACATTCCTTTATTAAAAAATGTTTTAGGCTGAGCTGCAAGCCATGAATGCACAACTGTTTTCACTTCTTCATGAGAGGTGAATCTTCATCCTTGAAGGACTGCTTTCAGGAGACAGAACAGGCAAAAGCTTGATGGAGCAAAATCAGGACTATAGAGAGGATGCTTTAACACCTCAAAACGACATTTTTGCAGGTTCAACAATGTGGACAGAGGTGTACAGACATGCACTGTCATAACAAGATCACAACACTCTTGGATAGCAGTCCTCTGCATTTAATCAGAAATTTAGGCTTCAGCTCTTCAGTGAACATCTCACTGTAATGAGCACTGTTGACTGTTGATTTTTTTTCATGATAATGTTCCAATACTGCCTCTTGAGAATCCCAGAAAACTGTATGCATCCATTTCCCAGCTGATAAAACTTTTGAACTTTTTCTTGGTTGGCAATTGAGTATGTTTCCACTCCATATTTTGCCTTTTACTCTCAAGGCATAGTGATGACCCCACATCTTGTCACCAGCAACACTTTTTTTTAAAAGAAACTTTTACCTTCCTTCAAGCATCAATCCAAATTTTGTTTGCAAATGTTCAAAAGCTTCTGTTTATGCTCTTCTGTGAATGGTTTCAGTACCCATCTCACACTAATTTTTCAAAACCCAAGTCTGTCAGAGAATCATTTCACGTGCACACTGTTACCAGCGGTTTCCAAACCTCAAAAACCATTTCAAAGGAACACAATTTTAGTCCCTTGAGGATGCAAAAATTGTCGTTTTGACATGGTGCAAAATGAGGAGTACAGAATTCTTCAAGGAAGGTTAGGGTTTCTATCC